TAGAAGGAACATTTTGTAGAGCGGATTAAACGGCCTATAGCCACACTCTATGTCAATGTAGTTGAAGACTGAACGAACAATTCATGGTTGTTTGCTCAAACCCAACTCTATATTTTGGCGGGAGTCATCGATAGTGCAGTCATCGTTTCATCGTTCGCTGTTCGTTGGAGGACAGAGAAAAACTATCAGAAGTATTATCGTGACTTATTGCTATGACATTTATTTTCAGACTTTGTGTACAATAACCCAATGGTTGGCTCTGTACTGGTGCAAGAATAAAGGGTTTTTGAGTCACCAATTTGTGTTCTGCTTATTTGAGTTGGTTATTGAGCATAGTTCCTGAAAGTCTTCCAAGGACAGTGTGAAGTCCATGGTGGTTAGACCTGGACACTGACACTCCATCTTTTCAGCACCCAACATCTATCTAACGGGGATATAGATATTGGTTATCTATTTAAAATTGAGGTTACAAATGCTTCCTGTAATATGATACGAGATGGAGAGACAGCACTTGATGATATCACTCCAGAGGTGTTTAAGTGTGGTGGTGGCTAACTGTTTTCTGGGTTTACCAAGGCATTATTCATTTACAGGGAATCAGAGGCAGTCCCGCTGAACCAGCGTAAGTCGTTGATTATCACAGAACGTACTAAGGAAGAAGGAAGTCTTCCTTTGGCACCAATGAGGGCATCAGCCTGACTAATATATGGTATCTAAAGTTATAGGCTCAATAATATTCATCAACTTCAACTCGACCCTCTTAGTAAACCATTTTAATTATCTTTATTCTTGTCATATGGGCAATATTGACTGTGCAATTTCTAGTGCCACTTAATGCCTTTTTCTGTAATATAAATACGATTGTACCTCTTGAAAATGAAGTCATTGATAAGACATTCCGATTTCTATCCATGAAATGCAGAGTATATCTGGTATGAATTCGTCTTATCCTAATCCAAAGTATAAGACTGCAAAAACCAAATCACAGATTCCAACCACAAATTGCTGAAGTTGACAAACAGTTTCGAAGTAGATAAATCAGTTGTGATGAGCAAGCACAACAAGAAAGAGTTCTGATCCACCTGAATAGTTGACTAATAAACAGTTAAGCTGATGTTTTATTTTTGAATTCTAGTTTCGGAGAAATCCTATTTCGCTAGTGTTCATTTAGAAATAATTCGGTTTCCTACCAATAAGTCTTCAACAGCCTCCACTTGTTTTGTTCGCCAGTACTTCAATTCTTTATTAAGCATGAAAATATACTAAGAATTAATGTCTGGAGACTGATGTTGATGTGGGCAAAACTCTGTGGTGATTGACAATTTCTATCTCTGTTTTGTTTCAATACTTACTGTTGATTGCTAATATGTTTCATATATGAATTGAAATATAATTTCGCTAAATACAAATTCCTGAATTCCGCCCTCTCTGTGTTTTGGTTGGATTCTTGTAATTCGGTCATCTCGAAATACTAGTACTACGATTACAAAATATTACAACAAATTGGCGTCGCGATGGAACTAAATAACCTGGGAAAATTTCCCATTAATGGATCTCCGCGGGAGATTGCTGATTATTTGGAATGCTTCGATGCGTGGTGAATTTCAAAGAATGTTCAAGATGACAAAATACCAGCACATTTCATCACTGCTATTAGGCTAGATGCGTATAGCCTAGTAAAGACCCTGTCGTTTCCAGATCAACCTATTTCTCTGTCATATGTCAAGATTCGTGAACTTCTAATAAATTACTTTCATGTAACTACATTTGAGACCAGAGAGAGGGCTCAATTCAGCAAACTGGTTCGTGCTCCCAACCAGAAGATTAGAGGCTTTATTCTGCAACTCCAAATACAAGCTTCAAAGTGTAATTTTGGAGATCAGCTGTATACTCAACTACGTGATCGTCTAATTGCTGGAATCAATATTCCTAAGTTAGAGAAAGAGTTAATTCAGATTCCTTCTTGTACCTTTCAAACTGCTAAAGATTTATGTATTACATATGAAGATGTCAATAATGAATACTCTGCTCCCACTACGTCAGTGTCTGATGTTATGCTTTCTAAAGTCGAAAATACAAGTGGCAATGGAAAGCAATCCAAACTGTCGTCCACAGGTAACAGAATGCAGCGAGAGATCAAAAACATTAAACCGTGTTTATCCTGTGGAAAGTTACATCTACGAAGCACTTGCCGTTTTCGGGGTGCTAAGTGCCATAAATGTGGTAAAGTTGGACACATCAAGACTGTTTGCAGAAGTTCGAATACTTATGTTGCTCAACATTCTTATAATTCTCCCAATGGAACCATTATTATTATTGTTTCCTTTAATTCCTAGTGGAACATACAGCTTCAGTCACACATCTCTATTACGTTTGGTTCTTCACCAACGTAACATCACCTGGCTCCACCTCTGCCTACATGCTTTCATCTCCTCTTCACATGACCTCCTCCATGTCACCTTCGCATGACGACCAACTAACTCACCGCTTCCCTTTCGGGTTCAACTCGAGCTATGGCTTGTCTTGTGATGTCACTTGATGGTTTTCTCATAGTATCACCAGCCAATCCACTTCCATTTCTTATTTCCAGGTTAGTTAGCTTCCAGAGATCCCCGTTGTGGAGTACGCACACTTTTTGGTTACTTGTAGAAATGAGAGATATTGTACATAATTTTTGTGTAAATCGCTTCTTGTTGAAATATGCATAACTTCCGAGGACAATTGAAAAATACACTCTGCTGTTGGAGACTTCGTCTTCTCCCTGGTTATTTCTGCTTACTTGCTCAACTCACACCGTGTTGTATACTTCGGATTTATTGTAGGAGTCTACTACTCTCAACCGAAGACATTTCTACAACCGGAACACAGCAGCTACAGCAGACGCAGTCCAAACAATTAACGTACCCGTGAGTTATATAAATAATTTGTAGCAGAGGACTTAAACTTTATTTCCAAGCAATCGTTTTTGTTGATATAACTCGTCATTGTATTTTTGGTAATATATTGTTATTTAACATTCCATTGACTTGGATTATATTTCTCATATTTGTAATATTAGTGAACTCTAACGTTAGTCCCCAACACTGTTGCTGATCTTTTCTGGCCGGAAGTCTGATCTTGAGTAGTAGTGAGGGAAGATAGGTGTCGATGAAAGTCTGTAGTTTGTTCAAAGTGACCTTCGTGATACGGTGCTGAGTCTCTAATTCGTACGTATAGTAAGCAGCAGTGACTTCACATTGGAGTTGAAAATCCGCATCTTATTTTTCGTGCTGACTACTGGGTTTTGACCCCCACACAGACTTGAGAGAAATGAAAGCTTGCCTTGCTTTCCCTATCCTCGCCTTGATATCCTTGTCAGTATATAGAATTGTAGCACCTCTATATTAACTCTAACTGTACGCTTGTAGAACTAATTGGTGTACCGATATTATGCGTTACACACTTTGCCGTTCGCCTCGCACTTTTCAAGATTTGATTTCGTCAACAATACGTCTTTTTAAGTTCTCGCTTACGCTACTTAATACAAAGTTGTTGTTAGTATTTGGTTGTGTACAGCATTAGCACAGTATAGAACTTGAAAACGCGGATGTACTGTAGCAATAAATCCAAGTTAACAAACAGCCTATCAAGCTTTAACTTATTCACAAAACTGCGGCCAATTTTTAAAACCGATGTAAATGTTCAATGGAAAACTGAATCTCACACTTTTATATATCAAACGTGAATTCTATTATTTACGGGATGTTATCACACTGTGAATAAAATATGTTACTCAAAAGTCATTTGCAGTTGCGTATACAAATGCCAATGAAACATACTGTTTTGTGTGTGATAGCTAGTGACATCACCATTAGACGGCAGCCGAAACCTGGACAGGTAAAGCAAAAGGGCTCGAACCGTTGACTCGGTCATGGTGCATAGACCGATGGCCTACACAGTGAACAGTTTAAATATTTCATCAATAGAATAGATTTCTCGAAAGAATGGATACTGAACAAAGAGTACTCTTTTCGATAACCCTCTCGTCATCAGGCTCTACAGTTATATATACATCAAAGTGAATGAATGATTTAGTGTTATGAACAACATTAACGCTGTTTAAATAACATAGAATCAATAATAATATTAATAGATTGCAGCTAAATAGCATCAACGCAAAATAAGCCGAATGTCAGAAAAGTTAGGAAAGGTAACAATAATACACATCATTCATGAATTTCTAGTCTTTACCGAAGGCCAGGGATGGCGAACTACACGTCCTATTCTCTACACAACCAATGTTGCTACGTCGGTTAAAAGATGAAGTACCTAGACTAGCCACTTCCAATTGTATGTACCAATTCAACTGCGCTTGTGGAGCGAGTTATATTGGCCGTTACGCGAGGAACTTGATTTTTCGTGCTCGCCCGAGAACATCTCCCACTATGGCTAAGTAAAGGTGTAGTTAAAACCATTAACAGCTCGATATTGGAACATCTGGTGCAAACCAGCCACAAAGCCAGCCACCGTTGAAGAATCCCTTTCTATCATCTACCGGGTGACCAACAAATTGCCAAAATCATCAAAGCCCCCCATGCTCCAAACAGCAGAGGCTATTTCAATTCGCCACAAGCAATTAGTGCTCTGTGTTCAAAAGAAGCAAGTCCAGCCCCAACTACTGCCATGACCTCCCGTAAAGACCATAAATTCATGAATTTATGATTTTTCTGACATTCAGCTTATTTTATGTTGATGCTATTGAGGTGTAATCTATCAATATTATTGATTCGATGTTACTTAAACAACATTAATGTTGTTCATAACACTAATTCATTTATTCATTCACTATAATGTAAACCCATAACTGTAGAGCCTGATGATGAAGGGGTTATCGAAAAGAGTACTCTTTGTTCAGTATCCATTCTTTTGAAAATTTTAATGTAGATTTTCAATCAGTGAGAATAGATTTTGCTTTTAAAAATAAAGTAAGCGTTCGCGTAGTTATCTACATAGGTCAATAATTATAGAGATGAAATAAAAAAAGAAATTACACATAGCAATGAGATTAAGTGTATTTTCTTCGATTTTCGTTCAACTGATGAACCCTCATTAATGAATGTATTGATTAGTTGGAAAGCTGCAGCAGGTTTATCTGCTGGCACTTTATGTCCTGCTCCACGAACTGTAGCATACGTCAAAATTGAGCCATGACTTTCAAACATTTTCCAGTATCCTCCAATCTGTTTCGTACCATCACTCTCCGTATATAACCAAAATCGACGTGATAAAGTAGGCTGTAATTTGAAGAAAAAGACGAGGGGGTGATTTAGCAAAATATACCGTTAAGTAGATAATAATCTATTAGTTAGTGGCAGTCATTCAATAGTAGAATGACATTCATCGACCACACACTTCGTCCAGGATCGATTCCAGGCCGTCAACATACTCTCTTTAACCTCACTTAGCCAGTAAACTCGCAATGGAAGAAAAGTTAAGCATGGGACTAGCAACCACAACCGGTCAATGGAACTTCAACCCTCAAGCTTATAGCTCTATATCCTACTCGGAACACAAAGGAATAAGAAGAGAAAGTTAGCAGGAAAACTTATAAACTACTGAATTCTGAAGAAGTTGGTGAAAGCTGAAGGATATAGTGAGTTAAGTCAGTAAGTACACAAACAATCCTGAGGCAGGTAAGAGGAGTAAACCTTTACGGTTTTTGTTAAAGGAACCAATGATTTATGACTCATAAACGACCTGGCACTGTTGATAGTGGATGTTACAACTGCACTGAATTGAATGAGCACTGTAGTGACTTTGTTCTGTCTGCACGCCTTCCTAATATGCCTGTCTGTTTTATGGTACCTTCCAGTTCACTGAGCCACGCAAATATCAAAAGACAAAGGCTAGCTGTGACCTGTGACTGTACGTTGTAATGACAACAACAACGCCAGTAAGGAAAACAACACACGGTATTTATACATTTTCTTTACAGCAGTAAAGTCGGCCTCGCACCTTTGAAAAATGATTGGTCGCATAATTAATCACAACAACATTCGTGAGAGATGATGATATACTAGTCTATGCGGGATCCTGTCAGTGGGTAGACTTCGGTCATCTTGAAATGCTAATACATGACCATTCATTCAAAGCCTCTTCCGCGTAAGTCTTATGCAGTCTTTTCAAGTGACAATGAAAGGGCAAATGCGAACGTCTTGTGTCTGTCCACCGGACTGGTGGACATCCAAGTCTACCACGGGAGTTAGGAAGCGCTGATTCCGAAACCATGATGTATACAGGATCGAGAATCCAAAAGGGACTGAATAACTCATAAAACAATTACAGTCACCGATATCTGTGATTAACTAGCTACTGACGCAGTGCCATTGCATAATAGACAATAATTCAAGTGAAAGGCTCTGAAGGTGAGAATACATCTACCAGGTATTCGAATCACAATTTGCACATGTCCTTCATATTGCACTTCTTTGTCTACTTTTCAAGTTTTCCATGTTGTTTTTTTCACAAGATTAGCTCATTTCTGCTCTTTATCTCATTAAATCCACCTTCCCGATGTTTAATACTGTTGCAGATGATGGATATTTTACATCTCTGTATATGCACTACTTATAAGGTTTTGACGGTAGCACGCGACACACTTCTACTAATAAAAATATTAATCAATAATATAATTCTCTCACCTTTAATTTCAAATTATCTACAAACATCTCACCACCGAGATAATTAAAAGCCACATCAATATCACCGTTGTATATCAGTGTAGAGATCTAAAACAGAATTTTAAAAAAATGAAGGATGGAATGATAAGATAGTCACTACACCTAGAAAAAATACAGTTTGGCTGAAACTATAAAAAAATAATAAATTAGAAGATAGACGACATATAAACACACACACACGGCCAAAAGATTCCACTTATTAAATCATAAAGGAGACAATGACGTGTTTTCAATAGCCTATTGAAGATTGGCACCGGTACCTGCCTTCTCGTGTTTCATACTGAAGATCAGATGGCCTGCAAGTCAGAGATAATAAACGACAAGGAATTCCTGTGGCAGAGAACGAGTCAACAGCCTCTTGGGTAACAAATAGGTAAAAGAAAAATGGGCAGGGGGTGAACACACACGCTGCGGGAGGCCTTTAATTCAAGTGGCATCAAACGCAAGTCAGGCCCTGAATTGCTATCCGGATAGGAGGTGACTATTTTGGGTGACATGGAGGTGATGATGTAAAGTGGAGATAAAAGTTTTGAGTCACTCGTGGAGCTGATTAAAACTGAGAACGAAAAAATCGAGTACAATGAAGGCATTTTGCAAAGGTTCAATTTCCCACTTGAAAATCAAAGAAGAAATGTTAATTCATTATAATTAAAGGCTTTTTTGTATTTCCCAATGAATGAATGAAAAACAAAACGATATTGTTCTTTTTTACTTACATTTCGCTATTTAATGCTACTGATAATAGCTTTATCAAAGTAGTATTATTAAACCAGAATTTACAAAATCTCAGCATATGTATATATAACAAAGAGTTAAGGTGTGAGAGAATAGACCACTTAGGTCAAATTAAAGGGGGACATATTGAAAGTCAAAATAACAATGAAGATCAATCACCAAACCAAATAACAAAGGTAATAAATAGTGCGTCTGTTATGATATCAAAACAAACTTTACTAACTTGATCATCGTTCGTTAGGGGGGGGGGGGTTATTTCTCGTTGTCAAGTTGGCCAATTGGTAAAAAGATAACAAAATCAAATGTGATAGAGAAGATTTGTAGCTCAGATGGATGATTTTGAAGTGGTTGTGTTCCGTTCCAGTGAATCATCAATTAATAGACACATCGAGATAGACAAATTTTATCAACCGATAAGAAAGAAACCTCACACACACACACAAAGGGTCAAAGTTCAAGTCAAAGAAACAATCAGTTCCAATACAAGCAGCCTAGAAGGTGTGAAAACACACAAAGATAACTAATCACGACGTTGAAGGTGACCAGGAGAGATGATTAATAAACTCGTGGAGAAATCTAAAAGCTCACTTCAATTCGAATTGTAGTATGCGCTGAAGATGTCACCTAGTGGTGGGGCGATGAAAACTTCGCAAATTAACTATCCAGCTCAGAAAACACAACCACCTCAAAAACCAAGTGTAGATTTCAGGATTTCATCATGAGCTGACATTAGTTAGAGAACTATTGGAAAACCTGGGAGTACTGGATAGCTGTTTCGTCCTAGTTTGGGACTCTTCAGCAGTACGCACCCGCCGGGATTCGAACCCAGGACCTTCCGGTTACAAGGCGAGCTCGTATACCATTAAGCCACTGGGATCCGATCCAATGGTCCTTAAATTCTTACTTCTGCCAATTCACGATATAGCGCGACCGCTAGCCAGTGTCTTCGGCGAGTATTTGTCCTCACACCCGACCAGCTGCACCCTACTGGTCACGAATTCCCACTGGAACCCAGGTAACTACCTACCTGAATAGGGCCAGTCGCCAGTGGCTTAATGGTATACGAGCTCGCCTTGTAACCGGAAGGTCCTGGGTTCGAATCCCGGCGGGTGCGTACTGCTGAAGAGTCCCAAACTAGGACGAAACAGCTGTCCAGTACTCCCAGGTTTTCCAATGGTTCTCTAACTAATGTCAGCTCATGATGAAATCCTGAAACCAATCAAATCCCTACAAAGCAACACTTGAATACCAAGTGTAGATTGTTGGATTTTATCAGTGTGAAAAATTATAAAAGCAGCGTGTGTCTACATAGTGAACTTGTTTATCACATTCGTGTGTTGATTTTGTCACTTCATGAGGCGGGGGGCGGAGGGAGGTGTTGTAACCAGGTCAGATTCTGTTTTAGTCCATCATTCCTATTAAGGCAACTTGAATTCCACTTGATATGAAGTGCTTCTGATGGATATTAGACGACGTTCTTTGTGATTTCTGAAGTTTTTCTGGATGATGATTTCAATATTGTCAAAATTAATTTTGTGACCTGATTCTATAACGTGTAGACACCTATGGCTTGCCGATGATTTTTCAGGCTTTTCTAGTTCAACCGGATGTTCTACGGTGTTCATTTCTCCGGATTTTGATTTCTCGATATGTTTGTCCAATGTAGAATAGCATCACATTCCAAACAAGCACTTTATTTTATAGACACAATTAAATAGAGAATCTTTAGGGATTTGATCTTTTATATGGACAAGGTTGTTTTGTAGTGTGTCTGATGTTTTGAAGAAAATGTTAATTACACTGCTGAAGATCTGATTTCGCTGCATTAGATTCGATACACACCCAAAAGAATAATTTTCAGTTTAAAATACAGGTTTTCTTAAAGTAGACTTCCTTTAACACACTCAGATTATGCTTAAAATACAGATCACACAATTTGTCTAAGATACGTAACAATATTATTATTATTACTATTATACCACAATAATCCCAAGTAGTCAGTTGCCAGTTCTAATTGACTTTACAAGGGCTTTCATCACCAACAAGGTGTGATATGGACATAGATAACACATGTTTGGCAAAATGAACAACATGAGAATATAAGGATGAATATGTAAAGCGGCTTGAAATAAACAAAGTTCAAGATGAAAGTACACAACACGAATGATACGCATAGGCTGGAGGTACAGTTTCACTATGCGATGTTTGGACTGCTACAGGCTTAATGAAATATCTATAAAACACAAAATAATTGAGTGAGCAAAGAATATCCCCTTCGATAAATTCCTCTTCTGGCTGTACAATTATATATATATATATATATATATATATATATATATATATATATATATATATATATATATATATATATATATATATATATATATATATATATATATATAACTTTATGTACACAGAATATTCTAGATTAGTAGTCAATAACAATATTAGTGTTTTTGAGAATAATATCGATTTGTAAAGTAAGGTCACAATGGAATTACAGTTCATTTAAGATGCTTAAATTATAACTATAATAATAAAGATGTAATAGCAAATAGAATATCAACTAAAATTAAGGAAATTTTTACAAAAAATTGAGGATCATTCGAACCTAGATGGCCAAAGTAAGGATAATGTCTGAATTAGCTTCTTTTGGACCCACAAATTAGGCTTCCCAATGTGGATCTCAAAGGCCTCAGCAATATTTATTAATCGAACTCTTAAGGCGAAGTTAAGATTTTTTGGTATGCGGCAAAGGACTCTGTAAGCATGGTGGTCAACATCAATCTTGTGTTCTGTATCCACAAGATCAAATAGAATAGCGCTACGAATAGGTTTTGTCTGTCCTTTACTTAACCAACACCTGTGCAGGATGATGTGCGGAAATCCGACGAGAAACACGCCTAATTGTACAGCCTATGTAACTGGCACGCTCCATAGGAGCAGTTAAATTGGTAGATACACATGGAAGAGGCGAAATTAGGCAGTTTGTCTTTTACCCTCGAACGCAAAGTGACGTTGAGGGGTTCTGAAGACACAGCGTAATTTGGCAGCAAGGAATGCTCTTTTTACCGCCTCATTTCTAAGGCGCTGTGTTAGCATCTCGCTGATGTTGTCCCCAAGAAACTGCATTTGTAAGAATAAGGCCTTTTTTGGAATTGTTGATAACTTGAACTGCTTTAATTTTAGATTCATATTCTTATCAGTAAATTCTGCTGGATAACCATTTTCACTTAGCAACCGTTGAATATTATTAACTTCCTCATCAAGACATTCATCCGAGCAAATTGCTCTTACTCTGTGGTGGACCAAGCACTTTATCAGATTGTGTTTGTATTTCAAAGGCATGAAGCTGAAAAAAAGAGTATACTGACAGCCAGCTGATGTAGGTTTTCCATATACACTTCTTCTTATTGTGCCATCCTCTTTTCTGGTCATAAGGACGTCTAGAAATGAAATACTCGAGTCTTTTTCTTTCTCAGCAGTAAAATTTATTGTAAGATGAACCTCGTTAAATTTACCCAGGATTTTCTTCGCTTCCTTCTCATTGTTCATAATCAAAGATATAAGTATAAAACTTAGGCACTGTGGTAGAGTATAAGTCCATTATGGATAAGATTTTATTTCGATAAATCACACACAGTGTTATACAGTTATATTAACTGATGACCACGTTTCGAGCACAAACTATTACCACTCATAATCATATCAAGTCACTGCTCACACAAATTTTTTCTTTCATTTATATACATGGGTGGAATCGATTAGATATTGGATTTAAAATCAATGTGAGATAATATCCATTCAGAAATAATAGTACGAGTGTTATTGAACCATTGCACTTAGGTGGGAAAAAGGACAAGTGTTATTACAGTCATAATAAGTTACTTGTTAGAATGTGTTTGAATTGAAATAGAATTTTAAGACTATTTATTATCTTCTTCTGGTTTGACTGGTGGTCATAATACGAGTGTTGTTGATCAATTATAATCAGATGAGAGATACGAGTGTTTTAATAGTCATAATAAGTTATTTATTAGAATGTCCAGTTATACCATATAAAGAGGGAACATCTGAGACCCTACGTAGGATTCTAAATAAAACAGTAATAAGGGTGGCGTTTAAACCTACAAACTCACTCAGAGACAAGCTCTGTAGGCTAAAAGACCCGGTGGACCCAATTAGACAAAATAATATAATTTACAAAATACCCTGCAATGATTGTGAGATCAACTACTAAGGTCAAACTAGTAGGTCAGGGATAGTCAGATTAACAGAACATAAGAATTTAGCTAAGGTAAGAATGGTCGACC